CCGCGCGCGCGGATTTTGAGGGTGCGCGCCCGCCTGCGCGTGGCGCGGCTGCGCGCAGACTCGGCCGCGTGCCTGCGGCCTAGGATCCTGGCCGCGGACTCGGATCCTGCGGCCGCGGCTTAGGGTGCCACGTAGCTCCACGCACAAAAAGATTGGTTTGCATTCCGCCCCGAGACCCCGCTGTCTGAACTCCCTCTCGACCCAGAGGAGTGGCAATGGAACCCGGCAAGGAAAACGGGGAGCAGGGGAATCAAAACTTTATTCACATTATCAGTAAAATCGGCCTACCGCCTCTTGAAACCAAAGATCAATGTGAAAGACATTGTGAGAGAGCGATGGCAATCTCAACTGAATGTGGGGAGAGACGCTGTTCGGCCCATCCAATGGTTTAAGGCAGTGAGGTTCAGGCCTACAAAATTGGCCTCGCTGCAGTGGCAGATAGAGCATCGCTGCCTCCCTACAAATAACTGGATAATAGATCGTACCTACCTAGAACAGAAGGGTTTAGATCTACCATGGTGTCAGTCCTGCTTAACCTCTTTCCCTCACCGCAAGATTCCAGAAACCATAGAACACATATTCCTGCAGTGCCCGGGCGCGTTTCTGACGTGGTGCTGGTGGGACAGGATCTGGTGACAGCTGGGGACTAGATCCACATGGCCATGGGACCGGAGAGCCCTATTATGCGAAGCCTGGTCCTCCCTTACGAATAGCTCCTTCGAAGACAACATGTTCAGGACGGAAAGGAGAGCGGTTATTTGGGCTCTCCGGAGAAAAAAGTGTATACATGCGATTGAAGGTGTTAGAATAGAAGGGGAGGAAGTCACAGATTTAGTTAAACAATATATTCAGGTGGAATTCATGGCACAGTGGCAACAAGTAAAGGCACAATTAGATCTGTTTGATATGAAAAATGACATAACACGAGCCATTAAACAATTTTCAGAGGAATGGTTGGGGAGTGTAGGTGGAGGCAAGATAGCTTACATTTATTGGGAAGGAGGCCAGGTACCGGAACAGGGTGGCAACAGGATAAGAACAGACTACACCATCTGCGTCAATGATTGGACCAGGGTAGACGCTGCTGTTCCTCTGCGCCCACCTTCAGACTTCCCCGACCCATTCCCGCCCCATGGTTTCGCCATGGTGGACCTACAGTGGTATGGAGCGGCCTAGGAAGTCTCATTCCCCAGGGTCGCGGTGATCGGCAACAACGCTGGGGAGCTGCAAAGAAATCGACCCATCAACAAGACCCATTGGCAAGACTGCTGCAATATCGGTGACTGGTTAGGCAAAGAGAGAAGGAGACTGTATTCGGGGGAGAAATCTGGATGAGCAGATCCACACTGCGCAGTTAATCCCCCAGCTACTCGGGGCAATCAATGCTGGCAGGAACTTTCATTCCTTATTATGGTTCGGAAAATTGCATGTTCAAGGACGCTGGACCTCATTTCCAGCAGGTGATGCTCCCCACCAATAGACTGGAGCGACTGGAAAGGCTGGTAGGAGGGGATGCTCATATCACCCCACCTAGCAGCTGGCCCGTTTTTTTCAAAAAAAAAAAAAAAAAAAAAAAAAAAAACAAGCTATAGTGATAGTAAGTATTTGTAACCAAATGCAACCTTATATAATTTTATAAAATACATATTGCAAGGAAAATGAGCAATAGTGAGATGACAAAATCCAGATTGCAAGGAAAATGAGCAATAAGGAGACGAAAAAATCCAGATTGCACAATCACATTGAAAGCCAGAAAGTATCCCAGTGTCCAGAAAGCAGCATTGCACCAATATAACACCAATGGAGAATCGTAACACTGAAAACCGAATGTCAATGAGAGCTTGCTCTCACCATCACCAACATAAGCATCCAGGCCCTTCTCCCTACTTGGTGCTCGGCGCCCAGCCTACTCCCTACTCAGCTACTATCTGCCTACTAAGTGACGATGCAACTGTTGACGTCAGCAGCCAATCAAGCACTTGAAGATGTCGGCCAATACAGACCATCGCCAATACCAGGTATGTGCCCCCACATCATCATCATCATCATCATCATCATCCTGCCTTCTTCCTCTTCCTCCTCGACTGACACCCACATCTTCCCTCTGTACACCCGAACACCACCCTTTTTTTTTTCTTTTTTTTTTTTTTCCAACACACGCCCCCACCAGTGCTAGCGGTGCTGTTAAGGGCAGTCACCACTAGCACCTGGGGAGAGGCTCCATCTATTGGTGGGGAGCAACACCTGCTGGAAAATGGGTCAAGCGTCCCATATACAAGCTGAGTTTGAAAAGGATCAGAGATAGCGCATGTGTGGGGTCCTGTCAGAATTGATTACCCTGGAACCCAGGGGATTGACTGAACAGGCTATTGCTATGAGGGAGGAGCCTCTTCACCTAAAATTGGTGCCAGATATCTGCTTCTACGTGCTAGTCCCTCCCTTCACTTCCGGACACGGTTAAACACAGCATCAGAAAATTTGAAGACTCCTACCACTCTTCCGCATACCCGGAGATTCCTACTAAACCCAAAGTACAGCAACTCCCTGGTAAATCCGAAACCTTGGAGGCCCTCCTGGTGCCTCCCCCCACAATCACTCTCCCCCATACCAAGAAATTCCTACTAAACTGTTTGCAGAGGGGGGAAAGAAATCCGGGAAGTCGCTGCTCGGCCTCATTGGGGTTGAGTCATCCAGCTTGGTCCAGTCGTTGAAAAGGAGTTTGTAGTCTTTTGTGATTGTCACGTTGTCACCCCTTTCCCCTTGTCCCCTACTTCCTCCATTCCATTCCACCCGTCCTATCCTCCCCCCCATTTCCCCCCCGAGCCAGTTTCTGCAGAAGTCTTGTATCCTCTGTTTTATCTCTTTCCCAGTGTGAATATGATTGATCTGTTTTTTGGTTTCTTCCCATTTCCCCATTATGTTTGTATGGATCTGTTGTTGTATACTCTCTGTGAATTCTGGCCCCTCCAACCTCGCTCCTTCCATTTCATACGTGCAGCGACGTCTCCACAGTGCCCACATTATTGCCCTTCTTCCTTGTTGAAAGATATTGAGTGTGAAATCATCCTGCTGTTCAAGAGGCCATCTTTCAAACAGCAGGGCTTTCCAGTCCCATGGCCAAGGTACCCCTGTTCCTAACTGGTCCCATACTCCGTCCCACCAGCGCCAAAGCCAGACCGCTCCCGGGCATTGTAGGAATATGTGTTCCATTGTCTCCGGTATCGCCTTGCTGTACATCCAAGCCCCAGCCAGCTATGAAGGCTGGGCTATGGCACTGCCCTCAGCAGCGCCCTTCCTCGTACACGACCGCACCTGCGCAGCACCTTGCCTTAGCGCAAGCAGCAGCCGGCGAGACTCCGCTCAAGCAGCGCTGCCACTAGCTTGCAAGTGCCCGAATGCCCCTCCAGGCAGCGAGCTCTTTCCTATATGGAAAGAGTCTGCCTGCCCCGACGGCCTGGCTGGGCTGGGCCTGTGCCCAGAAGCTTCTGGTAGGCCCCAGGAGGCTGTGCCTCTGCTGCAGCTGCTGGGCCTCGTTCAGTTAGGCTCCCCAACTGTCTGTGTATATTGCTGCGATTCCTGCCCAGGGCCTGCGTTTTGGAAAAGGCCTGGAAGGCCGTGGGAAGTATTTGCTGTTCGGGCCTGGGTTCCCTCAACCAAGTGACGTGACACAACTGCTTGGACCCCAATTGGGCCTCTCGTGATTTGTTAGGCCCGCCTTCACATCTGTATCAGGGGCCCCTCAGGCCTGCCGAGGAGCCAAATCCTCGCATTTCCTCCTCCTCTACTACGATAGTCCCCTGAGAAGTCTTCTAATATGCAGGCAACTTTCCCTTGAGTTCTCTTTCATAGCCTGCAATCACTTGAGGCGCTGTTCGTTGGAGTTCTTCTCTAGTGAACCATCGATCTTCAGCGGGATCAATATGATGTCTGAATCTGACACTATATTGCATCCTTGGCTTTGGAGGACGGCCTCTACCGGGAGGTTTAGGCACTGACATCATTCGATGCTCCACGATTGTCGATGTCGACTTCACCATCTATGGTTGGGGGCAGCATTGACCGTCTGGAGGGAAACAGTGCAGTTTCTGCAAAAGGTGCCAACTTTGAGGCGTGAAAGACTGGGTGTGTGTGGAGGTGAGGTGGGATGTGAATCACATAGGAAGGTCCGTCCATCTGATCCCCAACTATGTCTAGGACCTCCCAGGGACCGAAATACTGTGGCATTAGTTTTCTGGAAATTCCCAGTTCTTGTCCCAGTTCAGATGACTTTGCCCAGATCCTGTCCCCTACCTGAAAGTTAGAAGGCCGCCTGTGTTTGTTCTCATATGCAATCATAGCATCATGAGACTTCCTAATGTGTTCAACGGCCTGCTGCAGCATCCATTCGTACTTGACAACAAATTCTATGCCAGGTGGTGCAGTTGCCTGGTTCTCAGACAGTAGGAAATCAAGGGCGGATCTGGGCTTCCAACCAAGATGCAGCTGATTGGGAGTCCTGCCAGTAGTGCTGTGCACAACGTTGTTGTACAGGCTGGCAACGAGAGGCAATGTCTCATCCCAATCATCCTAACTTGGCTTGATGTAATGCCTTGATAGGTGCTGCACTACTCGGTTCACTTGTTTCGCCTGCCCGTTTGACTCAGGGCGATTCCCCGACGTCATCTGCAGTATGGTTTCCATCTGTTCGACAGTGTTTTGCCACAGTTCACTAGTAAAATGGACATCCCTGTCACTGACAATAGACTTGGGCAACCCAAAGTCCCGCACCCAGTTATCCATGAACAATCGGATAACGTAGTTAGTCATGCCAGTTTCTGGCATAGCGATTAGTTTTGCATACTTAAAAAAAACGGTCCACTATAACGAAGATGTGTCTTTTCCCACTCCCGCTGGTCACAAGAGTATCCATGAAGTCCATGGACATACTTTGGCCAGGACCTTCAGGGATCGACAAGGGCTTGATAAGCTCAAGCGGAGCCCGAGTCCTAGGTTTGTCCGGTTGGCAAACCTGGCAGGTTTCCACATACCTTTTTGCATCTTGCATCATAGAGGGTCACCAAAATCTCTGCACTAGGTTAGCTGATGTCTTTTTATAACCAAAATGCCCAACTGCATCATGACATTCACCTAAAAATAAACTACGCAGGGACTCTCTACTCGGAACACAATCTTTTATTCCCAGCCTTTTCAAGAAACAGTAAGCCATTAACCACTGTAAATTCATCAGAAGTAGCCTTGTCCTTGGCTTCTAACTTACGAAGGATCTCTGACATCACTGTCTTTCTGATAGGCTTCCACCGTACATCGAGTTACATCTTTAAATATTCCAAGCTCAATCACTAGTGCGCCCATATAATCTTCCCTACGCGATAGTGCATCAGCCACTTTGTTATACTCTCCCTTGATTGGGTCAAGTTGATAGTCATACATGTCCATCACTTGAATCCACCTTTTGAGTGCAGCAGAGAGTACAAACTGAGTTTTGATTCAGCGCAAAGTCTCATGGTCAGATCTCAAGTAGAAGAATCTGCCTAGGAGATAATGTCTCCAATGGACTAGCGTTGTATAGAGGCCATAGAGCTCACACTCATACGTGGACTTCGCTAGCTTTTGAGATGACATCTTTTTGCTCATGTACTCGATAGGCCTTAACTTCTTCCCCTCCTTTTGCGCAAGGACCGTGCCTATGTTGTATTGGGTGCCGTTTGTGGTCACTACAAAGGGTTGTTCAGGATCTGGAAGTTTGAGGACTTCATAGTGTGTCAGAGCATACTTCAATTTCTTGAAGCTTGCTTCACACTCTTCGGTCCAGTCCCAAGGGGTGTCAAGGCGAGTTAGATCTGTTAATGGGAAAGCTATAGTACTATAGTTTTTGACAATCGGACGATAGTAGCCCGTCATCCCCAAAAACGAACGGACCTTAGTAATAGTTTGAGGTATGGGCCAGTCACGTATGTTGGCCACTTTGGGATCGTCCGACCTCAACCCATCCGCGGAAATTTAATGACCCAGGTACAAGATCTTGGTGCGATCAAACTCGCATTTCTCCAAGTTGACCTTGTACTGGTGCTGTCTTAGGAAACCTAGCACGATTTTCAAGTGCTCAGTGTGCTCCTCTACAATCTTACTAAAGATAAGGATATCGCTGAGGTACACGACGATAAACTTGTCTAAATCCTATTCATCGCGTGCTGGAATGTACCAGGTGCATTGCATAGGCCAAAGGGCATCACCACAAACTCGTACAGACCATACCTGGCCTGGAAAGCGGTTTGTGCTGGTCCTTAGGTCTAATGACAATTCGATGGTATCCGGACTTCAGATCTATCTTGGGGAAGTACCGACATCCCTGCACTCTATCCAATAGGTCGTCGATGCGGGGTAGGGGCTTCATGTTTTTAACGGTGATGGCATTGAGGCCCCTACAGTCAATGCACATCCTTAGTGTACCTCCCTTATTAGGAACGAATACAACTGGTGCACCATAAGGAGAGATACTAGGCCGAATCCATCCCTTCTCTGTGAGCTCTTTAAGCTGGCGGCGGAGTTCATCCAACTCCGCGGGAGACATCCTATAGATCCGTCCTCTAGGTATTTTGCTACCAGGGACGACTTCTATCGCATGGACAACCTCCCTTTCCACACACCACCGGGCTCCTAAAAAGGGTCTGAATACTGAACAACGACTGCTTCTATCTCTGGGGGTGATTTTACGACCTCCCCTTTCTCAGAGACAAAGACTAGGTACATGCCCTCCCCGCGATTCTGCTTATAGTAGTTATAGAAAGAGGATGCACACATGCAGCCGTAGTTTTCCATTAGACTGCTAGCTTTGAACTTCTGCAGTCTAACGGTCCTACCATTAGGCAACTTGTGAATCATCACCTTTCTATCCCAATCAAATTGAGGTTGAGCAACCTTGAGGTAATACATGCCTAACAACATATCGAATGGCAGTTTGTCGCTGACCAGGAACGAGATCTTGTGTCTCAGTTCCCCTCCTCCATAGGAGAAGGTACAGACTACGTCCTTGACATAGTCTTGGACAACCATTTTGTGCTTGTTGGCTAGCGTAGAGGCTACAAATCTGCTAAGCCGTTACACTTGGTCCCCTAAGCGCAGTCTGTCCACACAAGCACGACTGATGAAATTTCATGTAGAGCCTATGTCTGCAAAGGCGCCCGCTTTACGACCACCTACTTCAACCTCTACCACGAAATGCTCACCTCTAGGACCTTTGCTAAGCATCTCCCAAGAGTATCCGGGGTCCTTTCCTCACCACTCAAATTGCAACTCTTCTAGGGACTCAGACACATCTCTCGAATAGAGCATCGGTGGGTCTGAATGTGTCTGCGGAGCGGTGGATGGGTCACTAGCCTTGGCCAGCGCCTGAAATGGCGATGGCAACGTTACCACTTGAGCACAAGTAAGAACGACTAAAACTCCTACTTGCCTGAGGTGTTTCCCTATGAAGTGCTCGCAGAAGCACCACTAGGGTTCGAAGATAAGCCTACTACAATTGGAGAGGCTACCTTTGTGGTGACCTTTTTGCCTCGGCATGCTCTGAACGTGTGGCCATAGTTGCCACAGTTCAGACAAGTACCCCTAGCAACTCAGTCCGTCCATACCTCGTAGTCTGAACCAAGTTTTACCCATGCGGGTGTTCCTTGGTCGCCCTGACCCTTGGACCGGCCTACCTTTTGTTTCTCGGTCCCCCTAGTCTTTTCCTTGATCAGAGCTACGACTCCCTCGTCTGAAGTCTCACTAGCCGCATCCTGCTCCGTGTCTTCCCCATAGTCAAGGAAGTCGTTAATCTCCGTCGCCTGACCATCATGGTCGACGAACATGAGATTGCCCTTCTTCCTCTAGTCCTGGGGAAGTTTCTTCTTCCTACCATCTGCCTGAACCTGATGAGTGGACCCAAGCTTAGCCTCTGGGAGATGGTTAACGGGGGGGCAAATATTTGTCGTTTTTGTCGGCAATTTCGGTGTGAAATTCGTCGAAATTTTCAAAAACAAACGATATGTATAGCCTCTATGTCCAAGGCTTTCTTGCTGAAAGAAGCGAAGTTATGAACTTTGATGTTGGCCTCATCCACCAGCTTATTCTTGACGTCTGTGGGCAAACATCACAAATAATCTGTGAGGAGTACCTGTGGGTCATAGCGCACACCAGGTACTACGATCAGACGTTCCACGACGTCTGTGACTTCGCGTACAGTCCGGTACCGTTTGGAGCTGAGACTCTTGATCGCATCAGTGGCCTTCTGATCCCCTTGAAGGTCATGCCACTTGTTGTACACAGTCTGTACGAAGTCCTCCCAAAGTTCTGACGATAGCCATGTTGCTGCACTAAACCATTTAACCATCGAGCTGCCGATCCTTCCAAAAAGGAGGCAACGACTATAACTTCTTGTTCTGGCCTTGTGAGCTTGTGCCTCACATAAGTAGGCGCAGTCCTCACCCAAGTGTCCAGGTCCTCATCCTCTTCCCTATCGCCAGAAAAAGGTTTAGGACTCAACAAGGGAATCTTGGGCATCCACTGCATAGGTTGGATTGGCCCAAGAGATTGCTACAGTGTTTGCATAGCCACTGAGACAGGTTGCTGCACGCTAACCTGAACCTGCCCTGACAATGTGGTTGTAGCTGCCACCGTCCTCAATGGTACGGGAGAAGTGCTTAGAACTGGACCACTAACTGCTGCTAAACCACCTGGAAAAGGCATGCCAAACACAGGAGAGAAGGAGGGAACTACCGGCGACGACGTCACCGTGGGACCCGCAACCGAAGGGGGAGCTACAAAATATTGAGGCTGCCTCATCATTGGAGAGGAGCCTGCAGTGCAGCTAGAATCTGGTCCTGACTGGCCACTAGTTGAGCCAGCACTTCCTGCTGGACAACCTGCGTTTCTGCCACGCATAACAGCGAGCGACTCAATGCTTGTATTGCAGGGTTCAATGTTGACTCATCCAATGCTTCTAACTTTCCTAGCTCCTGCCTCCTTGCTCCTAATCTAGTCTTTCACGTTATTGCTCTTTGTCTTCTCTCTGCTGCATCTCTCAACTGCTGCTGCAGCTCGTTATGAAGAGTTTCCGCTTGGAGGATCTCATAATCCTCCGCCGTGAGTTGAGTTTGCTGGCTGACTTGCAAGCCAGCAGTCTGACTAACGGAAACCTGAGAAACAATCTGACTAACCCCTGACGAAGAGGCATGGGACGAGGCCTCTGACATGGAGGCGGTAGCCATTGCGGCCTCTAAGCTGGCTGGCAGGGGTTGCTGCTGACCTAGACCTCCTTAATGCCGCCCTCTCCCCAACTTCCCTCCGCAATCTCCTTTCCTCTTCTGGACCTAACTCCGGGAAAGTGATCGGTCAACTGAGGGCAGTTCTACGGGTAACTCTAAGAGGTTCCACTAATCGTTCCTCCTCCTCACTACTGCTTGCATCACTCATGCGCTACAGTGGTGTGTGGTCTAAACTAGAATCCACACTGAATCTTACCTCAGCACGACACCCAACCTAGTATGATATTCAACCACTTTCAGTCAGCCCGGAGAGAAGTAGTCAAGTGGTCAACAACAACTAATGTCATATCCTACAGGTAACACTGTTTCTATTTTTAAATTACTCTAACACAGAATGCAATGCAGCAAGGAAGATACTATCCTATCTGCAACTGTCTGTCACCCCTGTGCCCCAAGTTTATGCTAAGCGTGCCAACCCCTGCACCTTGTTTACCCTCGCATGCAACAAGCCTTGCTTCCGGTTTGATCTGGCTGATCAAGAGGCATTTTAAGGACAGCCCCCAAGGTCCTCAAAAATTATTTTACGTCGCAGACAGGACAACGATCACAGCCAGGGTTTAATCCGGAACCCGCCAGAAATGTTTATAGACGGTCTGGTAATCATCTCTTGAAGGGTTGGCATGCCCAACATGACCTCTATTGCGCAGCAGCAGAACCAAGGACTTGCGGCAAAGCATGCATGTACTAGTCCCAGCGGGTTGGCATGGTGACCGTGACCCGAGTACTTCGTCCAGGGATCTTCAGAGGCTTCGCCTGTCTCCCACCCGCTTGCTGCCCAGGAAGAATGTTGACTCTCAAGGTTGAGTGCTCGTGACACCTCACAATGAGAGGACTCTAAAGACAAAACTCGTTTGCTCACGGTAAGAAGTAATGAAGAGGGTAGATAAGGAAGAGAGCAACATACCTCATAATGCTGCCCCCAACCACAGATTTCTCACCGGCAACTTGACGTGCATTTATCATGACCGGTCTTTGCCTCGGCACAACAAACAACAAAATGCAGTTCCACCTCGGCTTAAATGCCACATCAGCGAGCTCTCATCATCCAGCGTACACCCCAATGTAACCTCGTAGCCTTCCTGGCGTACCCGAAATGGTGTCTTCGAGTAAAATGACCCATGTACTGACGAACACAACAGATAATAAGAAAAATGGTTCCTACGATGACATGAAAGCCATGGAATCCAGTAGCTAAAAAGAATGTAGAGCCATATATCCCATCAGAAATGGTAAAAGGAGCTTCTATAGTCTATTTTACTCTCAAAACACACAACCCTGGGCCGCCTACCGTCCAACGCCCAAGCCTTATCACTGCCCCACACCTGATGCGAAGCATCAAACAGCTATTGTGAAGAACGCGCAATTCGAACCAGCTCCGATACCAAATTGCAAGGAAAATGAGCAATAGCGAGATGACAAAATCCAGATTGCACAATAACATTGAAAGCCAGAAAGTATCCCAGTGTCCAGAAAGCAGCATTGCACCAATATAACACCAATGGAGAATCGTAACACTGAAAACCGAATGTCAATGAGAGCTTGCTCTCGCCATCACCAACTTAAGCATCCAGGCCCTTCTCCCTACTTGGCGCTCGGCGCCCAGCCTACTCCCTACTCAGCTACTATCTGCCTACTAAGTGACGATGCAACTGTTGACGTTAGCAGCCAACGAAGTACTTGAAGATGTCGACCAATGCAGACCATCGCCAATACCAGGTATGTGCCCTCACATCATCATCATCATCATCATCCTGCCTTCTTCCTCTTCTTCCTCGACCACCCTGCGCCTTGCTGTACATCCAAGCCCCAGCCAGCTATGAAGGCTGGGCTATGGCGCTGCCCTCAGCAGCGCCCTTCCTCGTACATGACTGCACATGCGCAGCACCTTGCCTTAGCGCAAGCAGCAGCCCGCGAGACTCCGCTCCAGCAGCGCTGCCGCTAGCTTGCAAGTGCCCCAATGCCCCTCCATGCAGCGAGCTCTTTTCTATATGGAAAGAGTCTGCCTGCCCTGGCGGCCTGGCTGGGCTGGGCCTGTGCCCAGAAGCTTCCGGTAGGCCCCAGGAGGCTGTGCCTCTGCTGCAGCTGCTGGGCCTTGTTCAGTTAGGCTCCCCAACTGTCTATGTATATTGCCGCGATTCCTGCCCAGGGCCTGCATTTTGGAAAAGGCATAGAAGGCCGTGGGAAGTCTTTGCTGTTCGGGCCCGGGTTCCCTCAACCAAGTGATGCGACACAACTGCCTGGACCCCAAATACGAAATTGACAGCATTGTGCCTCTCGTGATTTGTTATAAAAAAAAAAAAAAAAAAAAAAGGGCGGTCACATCTGTATCAGGGGCCCCTCAGGCCTGCCGAGGAGCCAAATCCTCGCAATATTTATTATTAATAATTTATTATGATTATTCTTAGTCGATTTTATTGTATGATTGAAATTCATTGAATTAAAATATACAAGTGGACCCCGCAAGCTACGCCTGCGGAAACAGCAGGCATAATCCTGCAGACGTGCCCTTGTCAGCAGGCCACATCTGCAGGAAACAACATTCAGAAAAGAACTTGAAAAAAAAAGAAAAAAAAAAGACTATTTAGACTTTGATAAATGTCGCTCAAAGCACAACACAGAGCAACGGCCCTATGGCAGCAAAATAGAAAAATTCTTTGTTGTTCTTGATTTGGTGTTGCATCATCCGATAGCCACCCTCCAATAGATGCAGTGGAAGACTGACATACACAGATGTGATTGAACTCGACTTAGATTGGAGAATCTCAATGTTATTACTCAGATATGATGTCTGAATCAGGACAATTGCCTAATGTCACCATGTCAACTCTTATAAGATTTTCTGAGTGACGGAGATGGAAGAAGAGAGAAAAAGAGAAAAGAATCCTCTCACCGTCTCTAGAAGGTGGAGCCAGATATTGATCAGTGTAGTCAGCTATAGTACTAAAGTCTTCCAAGGTGAGCCTGTTCTGAGTTGCTGCATTCGTGAGGCAGCAGTATGCACAAAAGAACTTGAAAAAAAAAAGAAAAAAAAGCCAGCAGACTACGTTCTTGGTTGTCTGTCGCCTTTGCACAGTGGACTAACACTGACTCTGCCTTCTTGTTACGGCCTCCCTCAGATCCCCCCAACCCCTTCCTGTTGCCCCCCTTTTCCTTAGCTGAAATTCAGGTCTGAACCTACCTCCCCCACTTCAAAAACCAAACAAAAAAAAACTAAGCCAAACTCGGACCATTGCCCAGTTTAGGCTCATACTGGATCCGGTTCCAGTGACCCTTTCTTTTGTCAGGCTACATGCCATTCTTAAACAAAGACAAAACTGGATTAACCAAAGACAAATAGCAATAAAGGAAAGAACCCTCCTACCTACCCTCAGGTTTCACTTGGGCGCCGCAAAATCCTTAAACCCTAAACCCTACCGTCTGCCTGTCCTTCCTAGCCACCTTCCCCTTCCCCACCCCTACTCTGTTCTGTTAACCTTTTAACACACCTCTGTTCCCCTTCTTCTATCTGAACTTAAGTCCTACCCTTACGAGCCTAACACTCTAGTCTTGGCCCCGCTGATCCTTATTCTCGAACCAATGGAAGGCTAATCTGTATCCTTCAATTGTTGCTATCTTTCCTTTTACCAACGTTATCTGGCGAAAAGTCCTAAATATCTCCCGGACTTTCACCGGGTTTGCCGAGCTTGCCGTCTTGTTCTTTGCCATTGGGCCGTGATATCCGTCTCCAGAAGGTTGTGCAAAACTTGCTTGGCCTCCAGTCTGCGCATTTGTCCCTTTCCTATCGTCAGATGACATCTCCTCTTCCATATGGTCCACAACGCATATTGTCTCAGTAATTGGAACCCCCTTCTCTGTCCCGGTTGCCATGTCTTTGGAAGGTCCATGCCGGTGAGGAGGATCCTCCTGTCCTCCGGAAAGGACTCGTCTGAGATCTTTCCCCACAGTTCCCTGGCTGCTTCCCACACGTATGCCGCCTCTGGGCATTGTAACAGACAATGAAGCAAGGATTCCATCCCTTCAGCCGTGCAAAGGTGGCACTTGTGGTTGACCTGATCCCTCTGGTGGTGACTGCGGCGCTCATACAGCCGACCAGGAGCACCACATGGAAAATCAGCCATTGCAAGCTTTTGATTCTATCTAACCTTATGCTATTCAACGCTGGCCATGGCAATCGAGCGACCTGCATCCTGGGTACTTCCAACCTCCTTTCCCAACGAATAGCCAGAGGTTCCGCCAGTGGGTGAGACCTCCTTCTAAGTCTGTACCCCAGTTTGGTTGTGTAGTGCAGTATGCTTATTCTTCTGGCCACCCTCAGTATTCCTCCCCTGATGTTCCATGCCCATTCTGTCGGGTCCACTTCCACATCCTCCAGAGCCGTAGCCGGATCATAAATCCTATAGTTGTCGGTCTCCACTACTCTGACCTTCTGCACTGCGCTTTTTAAGATTGAAATCGGGGTAGTAGATGTCTTATCCAACTGACTGGTGGTGGTCCCTGTTTCCTCTATTGGGAACATATCAGCCAGTAACCATGCATCCCTCGGGCCCGTCTTGCCCCTTATCCTGAAGGCCTCTTCCGACTTATCCTTGTGTAACCACGTGGCCCATGTGCATGGGCAGTGGTATACACAGTGTCATGCACCTCATTTGCTACAGAAGCACTCTGCTCTAGGGAGCTTCTCTAGACCGGTCTGCTAAACAGCGAAATCTTCAGTCGTATACTTTCACATGTGCAGATGTGAAAACAGCTCACCTATTGCGCCTAGGGGACTAGGGGTTCGAGCATTGAGCCTAGGGGCTCACTCACTAAGCCGAGTAGCACCTACCGTCTTCCCCGGAGTAGAGTGTATGGTCGTTATTGCTGCATCTAGACTGAACCTTGCCTCAAATAAAGTTATGTTATGATACTGGCCAATTTCGAAGTACACATTCATCAAAAGTACAATGCAGTCCAATCGCAAAAAGAAATGAATGAACTTGAGGGGAGAGAGGGAAAGAAAGAAGAAGAAGAAGAAGAAGAAGAAGATGTACACCAGCAAAGACCAATGAGAATTCCCTTCTTCCTCGCCAACCACTCTCCTCCTCCTTATCTCCTCCCCTGTTACTCAAACAAGAAATAATAATAATAATGTTGAATGGCTGAACCAGAATCAATGTCCGAATCCCTCTTCCACGGCAGACATCACATGAGGTCCACCATAGCCATGGCCATCCTTCTCCTTCCTCTTCTTGAAGGCCTAGGCTACGGCAGACTGCTAGGGCCTGGCCCTGATGTGCAGAAGACAACTCAAGCAGCTATGGCTGCTCTAGCTCAGGCCGCCATGCCTGACCCTGCCTCAAAGTTTCTTGGCGTAGCTCTACCCCCGCTGGGGCCTTCTTGCTGTAGCACCCACCAAGGTGGTGAAGATGGCAACCACCATAGCCAGGTAAGTACCTCTGGTGCTCCCCCTTCCTAGTCCCCGTCTTCTTCCTCCTCCTGTCCTTGCTCCTCCCCAGCAGCGCTGCTCCTTGCTAGCGCTGCTCCAGCCGGCGCTCCAATCAGTGTGTCGCCAAACTTGCACACCGATAATGAGGAGGACTTTGCTCCTCCTGGAGTCCTCCCTTTCGGAGGGAAATATCATTGCAGACTCTGATGTTGCCCGTACAGGCCCTAGACTCAGACTGGTTGGACTGGTACCCGCCTATACCTGGCCTACAACTACTGGGCCTCTAAAAATGCCAACTTTTGTCTTCTTCTGCTCGGCCTGGAGTACCCGGCACATCTACCTCTACCTGGTGTGGTACCGGCCTACCTGCAGATTTGAGTGTTTTTCCGCTGCTTCAAGTGTCGCGGGCCTCTTTCCCGCCACTTGAGTGTTTTCCCCGCTGCATCCCTCAATGTCACGGCCACAGGTAAGTACCGGCCCTTCGGGCCCTCTGAACGAACAAGTGCCCTTGCGGGTCACACACACACTCAAGCTGACAAGCACTCAGACAGGCATGCAGACCAGCAAGCATGCACACACACAGACTTAGAAAACTCAGCAACAAGCGGGAAACTCAGAAATCAGCTGTGTCTCAGTCCGTGTTTGGCAGGTCGTTCCAGTTATACTCACTGCATGCTCTAGGTAGCGGAAGATGGTAGGCTCAACAGCCTTTTACGGTTTCCACCTGACTACCTTCTTCCCCCGAATACAATGTACGGTCAATATCGCTGTATTTGGTGTGTCTTTCAGTCTAAATAGAGGTATAATGACCGTACGTTTTATTCGGGGGAAGAAGGTAGCTGGCAGAAAGGAAGACCGTGAGTATTACCGACGGTACGAGTGTTTGATGCATTGGGATTATGAGCTGGCTGAAGAAATAATGTCCCTGCATATTGGCTTGAGGGGCTACTGCTGCTCTCTCTCTCTCTGCTGCTCCCGATTTCACCCCCTGCATTTGACAGCGTTCCGTACCTCTCTTTTTTTTTTTTTTTTTTTTTTTTCAGTCCTCCCTTAGCTAGGAAGAAGCGGTGGGTGCGGTGAGGGAGGTTGAGAGGGGAGCCCTAAACATAATGGCATTTGAGTAGGATGTCAGTGCGTGACCTGTTATGTCATGAGTTCCAAATGCTTCTTACCATTTAGCCACCACCAGGCAGGTACACATCCTGCTCAATCCCTCCCATGGTTCTTGAGCCTGTACTTCTTTATCCGCTCGCCGCGTCCTTTCCTCCTCTTTCTGATGCCCAATCAGCAGGGCTGATCCTGCCTGTTCTTTTTTTTCCTATTTCCGGATTCCAGCTGGATTCAAAATCACGTCCGCATTTTAACAGTTTATGTGTATATATACCAACTGAGCTAAGCACGCGTTGGTAGATCCCGCTTCTTCTTCTTCGGCAGACCTTTCCCAAGAAGTTCATCCCCTTTTCCAAGAAGCGCTCTTGTTGGGAGAGGGAGGACGTAGAATCATCCCCTTGCCACCGAAAACCGATAAGCTTTCCTTGGACCTAGAGTCATGCTATTGCCGAAACCGATGAGTTTTCCTTGTAAGATCATCAGGGCATCAGTCATTATATCATCCCCTTGCCACCGAAAACCGATAAGCTTTCCTTGGACCTAGACTCATGCCATTGACGAAAACCGATGAGTTTTCCTTGTAAGATCCTCAGGGCCTCAGTCACTATATACATGTCCCTTGCCTGTGTGGCTTCACCCCTCTCTCGTTTTCTCGCTATTGTCGCCAGGCCCCTTTGTTTTTGTTCGATGAACTTCGATCCACTGATTCTAATCTCTGCCATGTCTGTGGAGGAAGCTTAAGAAGTTTAAGGGCCATTCACTAACTGAGCAATGTTCGAAAAGAGTCTCCGGTTCTTGTAGTCGGTGATACTCTAAGCCACCACCTGACAATTCCTGCCACGAGAACACAAGAAAGCTGCAATCAGTATCTTTTCGAGCTAAACCAAAACTTCGAAGGTTCCTGTTGGTGTCAAAAAATTGACATCATGACATCAGTGAGGTTGATCGGTTATAGACAGAAGGGTGCTATGGCCGTCCTGTTGTTGTCAGATCATCGATATCATGACACAACAGAACAGTGAGGTTCATCGGTAATGGCCGGAAGGGTGCTATGGTTGCTCCATTCTTTCTCGCGTATGGGCAAACCTCCGCTCGTCCTCAGTTTGGTATGAAGTGCGAAAAACAATTAAAGGTGATAACTTAGTAGGCAATGTGGTAAAACAAAAAAGCGACTTCACCATCACACGCTGGAGAGTCTGACATCGTTGACACCAGCATGATACTTTGAAGCACGATCTGCAGGGAGAGAGGGGATGGATAAGGAATTAGTTGCTGAGGGTGTCATGGTCGAGGGGGCAATGAGTGAGGAGGGGGTAGGAATTGGGGTTGGGGGGATGAGGAGTTTTCATCGGAGGCAGGGATTGAGCATGCAGCTGTGCAAGGGGTGATAATGTAGGTCAGCAGGACGTGAAAGGAAGCAGTGGCCGTGGTTTGAAGGCGGTATGAATCTGTAAGGAGGACATTGACGTTTTTGCCATTTGAACTTTGAAGGCCTTGAGATGAAGTTTTTCAGTGGCAGAACCTGAAAAATGAAAGCAAACATGTTCAGTACAACTAGTCACTACATATATAACTATCGCTAAGTTCCTGCCTGTGACAAGCGGACGATCGGGGCCCTCCGATTTTTTGCTGCGCGGCGGTCCCTGAAACGGTTTTCACCTTTCTGCAGTCACAGATGCGGGCCCTAGGGTTCGATCCCCAGACCTCACCCTACCCATGTACAGTATCGAGTTGACCCCCGAGTGTTTGAACCGGTGACCTGTGTTTCGATAGTTGTTTGTTTGTCTATCGTAGGTCTGTGTAGATGTAGGGGTTCGATCTGTAGGTCTGTCAAATAGGGGTCATAGCTGTGTAGAGGTCGAAAAACTGCTAGGTTAGAGGTCTGTAGGTGAGTTGCAGGTCCAACTGCGTTGAGTCAACAGTGCAACCTCATGCAGTCGAAGTTGCCAGTCCCAGTCCCCGAGTCCGGTCCAGCAAGTACCGTGTGGGACTGTGCACAGGGCCTGGTGGAAAAGGGCAGACCAGCGGCAAACAGGAATATAAATCAAGAGCAGCGCCCAGCAATTCATTCATTCACTGCGTAAGCCATGCGGAAGCGCTGCTACAGCATCTTGTGCGAAAGTGGTCTGCAGGTTGCCCGAAGACGAAGTGGGCTGAAGAGCGATATCGTAGCCATAGTCAGTAGGGGTAGAGTGGCCGTAGCCGCGATAGGAGGAAGGTAGGATTGGTGTGTGTGGTGGTATTCAGGGTGATCCAGAGTGGAGTTGAGTATGTGCAAACAGTGACGTTGAACGCAGTGACGAGAGTGGGGATTGTGTGGGCGCTGATGCGCCATAGCTTATTGAAGCGAGTATTGCATCTGAACTGTGTTCTCGTTATCCATATCTCTGAGCTTTGAGTGGGCGCGCTGCACCAGTGTGAATCGCCATCTGTTTGCATGT